TAATAAAAACTATCCCAGTTGTAATGCCACTTCTGTTCACTGCTCTAAGATCTGTAAAGGGCTTAAAAAACAAAAAAAAAGTAAGACTTATTTTTACACTAGGGAAAGTAGAAAGCTGACTTCCTCTTTGGAGTTTTCCCAGGAAACTACTTTGTAAAGACAAATTTAAATCTTTCTGTTTTCTGGCCTTGAAGGTGGTAAATATGATTGTGGTTTTATCCATTTTTATTGAAAATGAAACAGAGTTCAGACCGTCCGGCTGTGCGTCATTTGTTGGATGGCTGCCACAGACTAATGCAGACGTCCCACTGGGAGACCAGAGAAGAGCTATACTTTGATTCACCAGATTGTGTTAAATAGTCCAGCTGTTGCGATTTGAAAGATAGTTACCTCAGAAGTGAAATAAAAATGAACTTGGCATTTATGCCTCAAACCATTTTTATACTGTTTGGCAATCAGCTTTTCAGAGGTAGCATTTTATAAAATAACTCTCACCGCTTAAAAGTTTCATTCACTGTAATGTTCAAAATGTCCCACCTTTATATTATCAGTAAAATTAAGCTTGAGTGATATGCAGAATTTGCATGAAATAAGCATTTCCCCCTTCATTTCATGAGCTTTGATTGTATTCAATTGAGCTCAGAACCATGTCGATTAGGGCTCTTTTGGGCATTAGTTAATTTGAATTGCAGTCGAAATGTTAGCTCGAATGTTGTTGAATATAATTGGAACGTGGAAAGTTGATTTTGAAAGGAATTTCATTGAATGCAAACAATGATGTGCTTTTTAAAAATTAGAATGCTGCGCTTTCCTCTCTTGTGACAGTTTGAGAAATCACCAAATCCTTTTATCAAGTTCAGCTTTGGCAGAACCATTTGCAGTTGTTCTGATTCTTCTGGTACTGGTAGGCTTCGGAGTCAGGTCTTTCCTTTTGCCAGCAAGGAGCCCCGCCTGCCAGAGGCCCACATCCTGGCTCTCCTGCAGTTGGGAACAGTAGCTGCTTTCTAAAAGGGCACCCACGTTGTACTTGGGTGTGAGGCTTTGTAGGGTAGATTGGTATATTGTGTCCTCACTTTTATTTTGCTTGTTGGTTTTTGTTTTTGTCTCAAAATCACCTTTGAGCACATGGTCTAAAATGACTCATGAAAAATAATCTGTTTGAATGGACCATAAATGACTGCCAGTATGTTGTAGCAAGAAAAAGTATTGGCCAGGAAATCAGGATTCCAGAGTCTTTGTCCTTTACCCATTGTTAACAAGTGTGTGCTATTGGACAAATCATTTCACCTCACTCTTCTGGAGTCTTCTCCTGACAAGTAACAGACTTAGACTAGCTCACATCAGTGATCTCTTCTGGCCAGAGCGTCCCAGGGTTGAAGTCTGACTTCCTACCACCAATAACGTGTAAGTTTTACTTGCAGACTTGGCTGCATATGGGAGGAGGGCTGCCATTACTTTTCATGAATACTGACTTGTCATTGCTTATTTTTGGTCAGTGTCTTTAGTTGCTGTATTAAAGTAGAAAAAAATGAAAAGAATAGTAGTCAAGCACATTCCCTATTGGATTGCTGCAGTTGTGCTTCCAGGATTTCTGTTTGGGCAAGAAGCTTAGACTTATCCCTCTAGAACTGCCACTGTGGCTGCCTTGAACAAGAGCCTGGGTTCGGCACTGTCCCTGAAGGGACAGCTCTCTCGCTGTCCCATAGGGTGGGATAGAATAGAATGAGGCACAGGAAGGCCCCTCATTCCAGAAGGAACCTTGGGCAGCTCCCCAGGGAAACAAAGAATGGGCCTAATGATATCAAACCAGGGGGAGTCCAAACTGCAGAGGAAAGAAAAACAAACCAAGGGATAGCCTGAGGGGTGGACTATTTTTTCACAGATCTGAAAGACGCAGATGTAAATGGGAGTTTAGAAGGAAATAAATCCATAAAGAGGCTAGAATAAGCCTGTGGTATCCATGCCACAGGAGAAGATGCCTTTGGGAAACAGCATGGTGCTTGTGGACGAGGCAGGAGACGGGAGCCAGTGCCCGACTCTTACCCTGACTGCTGCTGCTGAGCTGTGTGGTGTAGGCCAGGCTCTCCTCTCTTCTGCACACCTTGTCATCTTCATTGCAGGACAGATGAGACTACAGGATTGCCCCAGTCCCTTTCTGCTTTAACACACTGGGGTTCCAAGGCAGTGGTCATTATCCTTGAAAAAACATTTTTTCTGCTTCAGTGAAGATTCAGAGAAATTGCGCACTGTGCCTCATTCAGTGACAGCTAACAGAGGGTTTCTCAGACTGGCCCACAAGTGACCTAGGAGGCTAACCTGGAGTTGCGAAGCTAACTTCAGGACAGATGAATGGTTCTCTGGACTGAGATGATTCCAGGACAGTTGCAGTTTGACAGTACAAGGTTTCTGAGTTCAATCAACCTTTTCCTTTTTGCCATTGTGGAGACTTGAGAGCACTGCCTGCAGTGTTTATCTCCCAGCTGCTGACGACAGCTTTCTCTAAGGATAGTTCACCTGCAGATACACAGGACATGAAAACCTCCATGTTCTGCCAAAGTGATGAAGGTTGGTATGGGTTCATGGAAGTTGCCCACCCAGAATGCCAAATGAGACAAATACCTCCTTTGCATGCTTTGAGTGGACTGGCTGGCTTTTGTAGCAGAGGTCTCAGACTTAATCTGGTGGAGTCAGACCAGACTTGACCTGCAGACTTCATTGTGGCTTTCGTGGAAACCTAAGCTAGGCTGCAGCTTTGCTTCCTAGAATTTGCTTACCCATTCCATTTGTTTCCAGAATTGGCCAGAAGAGAAATTTGCATGAGATTTAAATGGCAGAAGTGAAGTTGTCATCCTTAAAATGAGCTTTTTTTTTTAGCTGTGAAGGTCTGTATGGGGAAGGCTCTGGTGGAGCCCATGCGCAGTGTCATTAATGTGCTAGCATACCTAACTGGCATGTGGCAGTGGCTGGCCCTTGGTTTCTCCAGCTCTACCAACTTCCTCCTCAGCTCCTCCACATCCTGGGGCCAGGTGCATGTGCAAGCTTATCCTGCAGGTGTGTGCATCATCAGGATCAATGCTTGTGGGTGACAGATGCATCTCTAATTTGTCCTCAGTCTCTGCCACTTTAAAGCCATCCCCCCACCCCAGGCCCCCAATTTCCAGAATAGCTGATTTCAGGGCCTGCATCACATGCCAAGGTAAAAGACTCTTATGGACTGTCTGCTAGCGCCCCCCGCGGCCTAAGGTCTAATTCCTGTGATAGATTCTTCACATCACTTAGTTCTGCTTCTCTCATCAGCATTTACATGTTGCCTGGGTCAGAGAAAGTCAAAATGGTGCCAGTGGGGAAACTACATCCCATACTGATCCCCAGAGCATAGTAGCGTATGTCTCAAAAAGTGACTTGTTGTTCAACACAGATGGACAATGTCATGATGGTGCAGATGAAGGATCTGTCCACCCTGCAGCAAGGCCCATCCTCCTGGGTCCCTGATGATCTCTTTGATCTCACCACCCCCAAGGAATACAAACTCACATGTTACTCATGTATGATGATGGCCAAGCCATGTGGTTAATATAACCCAGTGGCCACAGAGAATGATTTCCAAGCCTTTGATAAAAATGTGGTCCTTGGGTTTTAGTGTTTTGTGCCTGTGAATGGGTCAGGCAGGCTACTTTCTCTTGTAGTGGATCATTTTTTCTGTTGTTTTTGTTGTATAGGAGAGATCTCCAACCATTCACACCAAACCTTGGTCTCTCTCTGTTCATTCTGCATCTTTGCTGGTTTGTTAGCATTTGTGCATTCGGTTATTCCAAAAATGATCTGTGCTAGGTGCACATAACTGAACACCCTCACCTTGTGGATGCTTGCATTCTATTGGAAGAGGCAGACATGAAACACCTACTAATTAACTGTGGTAAGTCCACCAAGGGAGAACTACTAGGTGGTAAGAGCGTCTGCCGGCCAATCCCACTGGCTCAAGAGGCCAGAATAGTGGGATCCAGCTCCTGAGGAGGGGCTGGCCAGCAGCTCCCCAGCACAGGTCAGGCAGGACAGTGTAGTGTGGGCTAACAGCTAACACTGAGTTCTCTGAACAAAAGAGCTTAATTCTGGAACTGTCCAGGAGGACGAGAACAGTGTGGAGAGCCCAGCCCCACACCATGGCTGCCTCGACCTTCAGGCACCGTGCAGCAGCCCATGCCTCCCATGGGGACTCAGGCCAGAGCTTCTGAGGACTGGGTGCCAGCAGCCTGATTTCCAAGAGAAAACACTTGAGGGACACCTTGTTTCCACAAGGAAACTCACCCATCCAGCCCAAGAAGCAATAGTTTCATACATCAGAAAACAGATGGCTTCTGTGGGAAAATAAACTGCCTTGAAAATTCAGTCAGATTTCTCAAGGAGCTAGGTCCTCCTGGTTGGAGAAGTTGATGATGTCTTAGCATTTGAGCCTATTTCCTGAACTCTCTGATTCATCCCCTGCCACCCTTGAGGTCAGGTCTGTCCTTATTGGTAATGGCTGCAGCTGACACTCCTCACCTCTTCATGCAGTCTCCTTGCAGCTAATCTGCATGCAGCCAGCTGTACCCAGGGGCCAGAGTAGGTAGGGAGCAGACTGGCTCCTTCCAGCTAAGCAGGGCAGCAGGGAAGGGGTCTGGGCAGCAGGCCCTGGGGGGGATGCCCAAGGGATCCCTAAGCTTTGAACTTCCTGAGAAGAGCAAGCCATTAAGCAGGTAGGTGCTTTGGCTTTTTAACGCTCCTGTAGTTAATCGCTCTGACTCTTTCTGCCTTCCTCCTTCTGGCCTTGTGCTCCTAATATGTAATCTGATAGCTTCGTTATTATTTTTTCTTTAATGGCTGTCTTCTCAAAGACTGCTATGTGCATGTTGATTAAACTTGGAACGTTATAGTTTGTTGTTGTTGGTCTGAATTCAGAAATATGGAAGACAAATATTTTCTCTCTCTGCTTTTTATGTTTCTTTTTAACTCTTCATCCACAGGCCTCCCAGTAACATTGGATACAGGAGAAAATACATTGGCAGTGAAAAACAAGATGAACCAGTTATAGTTTTAGATCCTGTTTCCTCACATGAACCCCAAACCAAAGACCAGGTTGTTGAAAAAGATCCAACTCAGTGCAAGGAGGAGGAAGGCAAAACTGAACCAGAATTCAAAGAAGACAGCGTTGAAACAACGAGAGAGACGGACAGCTCCAGCTGCTGATCTGCAAACCAGAAGGCTGGCTCTTGGGAAGTCCTTTTCAATAAGCACATGACTCATCTTGGTGTATTGTCAAGGGCTATAGACACTTTTCTCTGGTCACTGTACTCAATAGGTCTTTCCTGGTGTCACTTTTGTAAGTAGCAACTGTTATAAGCATAAGTGAGCTATTTAGCAAAATACACATTCTAAGTAGTTTTTGTTTTTTGATCTTTATAGGGATAAGGTATTTCCTAGTTACTATATGTATTAAGTATGACTTCTTTTAGAAGGTTACAAGACTCAGATGTTGATATCTTTTTAGGAAATGTGCATTACACTCATCAATTTTAGTAAGGCTGAAAGTTCAAGGTGTTTATAGATAATTGGGTAAACAGAACTGACCAACTCCACATGATTTAAAAAGCCCCCCCAAGAAGCTTCTGTTTAGGGTCTGGTCCTCTCTTGATGGACAAACTGCAGCAGCTTGGGAATGGTTGGGGTCTGTGGCATGCAAATAATATTCAAGGATAAATGCAGATAAACTTCAAACTCAGGAGCTGGCATCAAACTAGTAGTCCCTTGGGTCTGTGTTAACTGTTGGATGTTAACTGTTGCCCAGTGCCTCCCAGGGACTTCAGTGGGAATGTTCTGGTTGCCTGAATACAGAGTGGAGGGGCAGGTCCAAACCTCGAATTTCACAGTAATATCTTGGTAAACCATGTTTTCTGTCCTATGAGTTAATTGTGTTTTCCCATATACGAATGTGGCACAAGTACCATATTTTGTCACAGTTCTTATGTACAGTGAAGATAAGTGACAAGCACACATTTTTCTTGCTTCACTGCTGTTCTACATTACACAGGTTTATTTATTTTTTTCCCTTAAAGAAATTAAGTGGTAGTTAGTCTCTAAAAATACAATGTTTCAGGCTACCACAGTGAATAAATAGAAATGTAATCAGGGATTTTTTTTAAAAAAACTTATGCAGCTTTTCAAAGTTGATTGTTTCAAAATTGGTGTTTATTTAAAATAAGTGGTAATGTACTTGAATGCACTTTTTTATGACAACGATTCAGTAATGGTAATTTTACTATTAAAGAAAGTGAAAGGTTTAGTTTTGTTAGCATGACTCAGCATGTAGCTGTCAGGTGTTTCTCACCTAAGGGCAGGAGAAAATGATAGTAATAATTGCAGTAGTCGTATTGTATTTTTGCACGTGTGCTTGAGCATTGGAGAGGTGGGAGGCAGTGAACATACTTCCTCCAAGTGGAGACAATTATCTTCCTGTAGGTTCCTTATGCTCAACTCCTTCCATGTTCTTCCAGTGATGATTTTCCAGTTTCCTATCAGTTTACTTGTGAGGAATTAAAATGTAATGATTTTCAACTGTATATTTCCCTAACTGAATAATACTGCTCTATGGTATTTAACTACAAACTGATGAATTCGCTTAGATGAGTTCTGTTATGCTGTGATTTGAACTCTCCTCACCAGAAAGTATTAAAAGAGAGAGAAAAAAAAAAAAAAGCACCAACAGTTTCCATTAAGGGTCAATTGTGGTTATTGACTTGTTGTTTTGGTTTTGGTTTTGGTGGTGCTGGGGTCTGAACTCCAGAGCTTTGCATATGCTACCTCGAAGCTACATCCCCAACCCCAAAACTCAGCCAACCTTGACATTCTTTAATAAGATATTTGTATAAGTTGATGAGTTTAGTAATTTTTGATGACACACAGAATGGTTTCCATTGAGCAGCTCTCCTCTGTTTCTGCCATGGCCTGCTGGTGTGTGCGTTGTTTGCGGTTAGGAATATGAACACCACGCACACCAGCAGGATAACATGGTTATAAAAACACCTTTGTGTCCAGTAAAAATACTTCCTGTTTGGTGAGACGTGCCACCTGGGCCAGGCTGCAGTCCGCACCTGGTACTTTCCATGTTCTCTTTCCAAGCTGCCTACTGTACTTCCCCCGTGACCACGACACACCTTAAGTTACTGTGACATAAAGATATTTGAAGATCGTTTACTCACCTTTTTCCTACAGTTTTTCCCTTTCACCTCAGTTTTCAGGTTTGCCCCTGCTGGGGGTAACTGTCAACAAAGCAGCTGGTCCCAGATAGTAAGAAATGGGGAGACCAGTGTTTCTGTCTTAAAGGTATGTTCTTGGCTATTTACACCCAAAACATATACCACTTTAAAACTGGGAGGAACCCCATGTTTTTGTTTTCTCTAAAAGGGCATTTGTTTCTCCTTCTCTCTGGGGGATAATAGATTAAATCTCTGCTAGTTTTCTTAACTAACGTTGATATACTTTCATAACCACAGTGAGACAGAGGAATAGAGGTCCTGTATGCTGTTGCTTCTTAAAAAAAGAAAAAATGTCTCTCTCTTCTCTGGAAGAATAAGAAGAATTGAATTAAAATTCTTGCACCTTTTGTGTCTGAGCTAGTCTCAAACTCCTCACCCACAGTCATTTTAGCAATTGATCAGCCCCATGGAAGTTCTGATTGTCAGGGTCACCAGGGCCATTAGCACCCAGCCTTGTTTGGTCTGAGTAAAAAGAAGATGGATATTTTGGCTCCAACTGTTCATCAATAATTCCTCCTTCCTTACCTTTGTTAACAGTAAAAGGTTTGTTGGAAATGGAGTAGTACAGGTACAAATTACTGTTGATTCTTTTTCCAGAACATTCTTAGGTTGAGTGTAAGGTAAATGATAAGTCTGTGTCAGGGAATCTTAAAAACAGAGCCTGAGTTATTTTCCTAAATGCACACTACGTGTGTGAAATCACTTCATCATGTGATAACCTCAGCTTCTGTGCTGACAGCTGTGGGTGGTGTGTAACCGCCCGCCATCACCACTGACCTCAGAAGGGCAGGCAGTCCTCGCGACAGGGTCAGAATGGTTTAAACTGGGATATGCCTAGTTTCTTTCATCTGTTTTGCAGATAGTGGAATTATTATTATATATGTTTTATATTACATAAAAGAGAGACTATAAATAGAAAGTATTCTTGGGGCCCTAAGTCTAAATTTAAATGCTTGCTGTCCATAGGTGAGCCCAGACCTCAAGTGAGGTTAGCGTGAGTGGACTGTGCTTTGTGTTGAAATTAAAGTGCTGATCTGGTGAAGGTGATAAGTCACCTCTTTGGTTAATTGAATTTAATTAGTTTTTGCTCTGGTTTCATTGATTTTATTATAATTCATGTCACAGTTTGGGGGCACACTTAAGATTTATGTATGTGTGTGCATCTGAGGATATTCGTCCTCCCTTTAAAATGAACTTTCCTTCCAGTTTGTCCTGCCTAGTGTTGGTCAGGAGAGGTGGACACAGTTCTCCCAGCTTAGAGTGATACCAACCAGTTCTCTATCCCAGTCCAAGTCCAACTTGAACTGCTCTGAGTCTGCCATGGAGCCAACTTTAGATGGTAACTTCAGCTCTGCCAAAAGGTCATTAAGTCTCCTTGTTCATACTTTTCAAAAGGAGAGGCCCTCTGTGTGCTTGGTAAAAATGTAGAGACTGTGTCTGAAGTCCAGGTTCAGCTAACTCTCCTACAGGTCAGTTCATGGCAATTTATGTAAATTTTAACTAAAGGAAATGGTAGCCCTTTTAACAGAGAACCCAGCCATATAAAGCAGTGGGACATGATCATATCTCTAGATGTGTGTTTGAGTTTATTTACTATCTCCTCTGCTGTAACACTAGCTTTCAGAGAGCCAGGTCAGCAGCATCTCACTTCTAAACACTCGCTAATCACTTTTTAAATGGTGCTGTATAAACAACTGGATATTTAAGAACCACAGGATTATTTATTCACTGATGTACTGTACTTATTAATCTATACCCATTCTTGTTCTAAAACAGATCTAAGGAGATTTACAAAGATAATATATAAGGAAAACTAAAATTTAAGAGGAAGCAGGAAGGAGAGGAAAGGGAATTGCTTGTAGAGAAGTGAAATAAAGCTGTTTGGTGGTTGAAAACAAGGCGACGCTCTGCTCCTATGAGGTTGGCCACAGAAAGGCCAGGTGGGGTTGGGGAGCAGATGAGCCCAGGAGATGGCACCTACTTCCAGCACCAAGAGCTTCTTGCTGAATTAGGTTTTTGCTTTTGAGATGTTCTGCTCGGTAAAGGGTGAGGTGTTTGACTGAATGCCAACATGTCACACAAAAGAGGGTGCCCCAAAAGTGTGACTCCAGTTGTGACTAAATGAACAAAACCAGAGCTAAACTAATTATTTTGTTTCAACAGTACAAGTATTGGCCTCTGATAAAAGCAGAACATGATCTTGAAAAGTGGACAAAAGATCCCGTGTTCCCATGGAAATATGATGGCTTAAAAAAAAAAGTTCACAGATAAAATTTCAGGCAAACACACCATATGAGTATATTACCAAACAGCTAAATTAAAAGAAAAAAAAGAGCGCATGAGTTGGTGGTGCTTAAGAGCAGACTCGGTGCAGGGATGTACTTCACAGCTGTCAGCCCGACACTCACTGCACGCCGTGCCTTGCACTACTGCCCCTGGCTGGAAGAGGCTCACATTTTGGCCAACTCCTCTACAACCTCCGTGGGGAAGATGGGCTCTGGAGGCTCAAGCAGCTCACCAGCACCAGCAGCCGCCTCAAGGGCCTTCTCAGCATCCTCATTAAAGTAAAAAAAAGTGTGTTCTTCTTTGAAACCTATTAAAAACAACAAAAATAAATTTACTGTCTAATGTAGCCGTGCTGATATTATATATCACATGATTTGAATGACATCATCGCCAAAACTATCAATAGGAGTCACATCACTATCAGAAAAGTACCCAGAACCACTTAAACCAGGTCCGCCTTTGGTTAGGCATTAACTGTGCTATACCATACACACCTAACAGGACATTCTACAGTGTTTGATGTGCTGTGACAGAGCTTAGCAGAAAAGGGTACCAGGAAAAACTAGAGGAGAGGCCCACACTGCTTGAATGCAGACCACCTGCTCCAAGAGGACCAGGGGCAGACTTGGACTATTCCAATCAGGCCCACAGTGGTAGTTTTAGTGGTTGAGATTTTGCCAATATCCTCTAATCAAAGGTGGTAGTGGAGAGATTGGTTTTGACTGTTTTGGGTCCTCTTAGCATGTAGTGACCAGTGTCTGAGAAATTCTCAACTAATCCATTTTGGAACCCCCAGATGGCTGCACTAACACCTGAGGAGGGCTTGTCCCTCTGGTTCCTAGGTTTGTGATGCTCTGAAGCAGCTGTGTTCCTTGTGAAGTGGCTGGAAATGTGAGAGGCCATTTAAGGAAACTGTGGCCTCTTCTAGTCAAGATGACAGACAACATGTAGAACAATATAATTTAACACATTTGAAAAAAATGAGCTTTTGTGTTACACACTTTTAAACAACCAGATTCACTGTTGATACCTTTACATGACTCAAAATTGGTCTCTCAATTATACTTTCATTTTCTGTGGATTAAAAATCACAATTTTTACTGGTCTCTTAAAATGTCCCTGCATGCCACGGTCTCCTTTCAGGTATCACAATAGTAATATAAAAAATAAAAATGTATGTTTAGGATGTTTCTCTCCAACCACTACACAAGGTGCTTCCTCATATCAGATTTATAAAGGTAGCATTTCTTAAACGATCAGTTGATTTCTCTTGAGATCTTAGCCTTCCCAATATACAGTAGAATTAGCACACTGCCTCCTGGTTTTAAGTAAACCAAGTTGCCCCCAAGAACCATCAGAAAAACATCTGCCTTTAACTTTCAAACTGTGCAAAGAAACCTTAAGGATAATTTGGACCATGACAAAAGGTAGTCTTGGAGATTCCAATCAATTAATTCTATTGAAAAGCATCAGGCCAGATTTTAATACTCAGGTAAACAGATAATCCATTAAGGCAACAATGTGCATTGTGGCAAGTGCCATCTTAGTTTTGTCAGCACTTATTTATAGTCTTTGGATTCCCCTGCCCTCCTGCCGAGGGACTTCTATTCCCCCTGGTCCAATCTTTGTTCTCTTATTCATGGCGAAGTGAAAACAAAGGAGAAGGCAGCACGTACCCAGCGTTCCCTCGTGGACCAGTTCCTCCTCTATAGTCAGAAGGCGGTTGTATTTAGTCACCCATTCACCACGAGAAAGGCCCCCCAACTTGATAAACCGGACCCCGAGTCCAACGGCCTGAAGAGGAAACATTTTGGATGGGAGGGTCATGTTTTGCTGAGCTACAACAATGATTTGAAGAGAAGAGCTGTCGCGGTGTTGTGCAGGGGTTTCCCCCTTGTATCTTCATATTGTATCTTTATGGAAGTAAAGTGACCTGCTCACAAACCGAGAGTTTGAAAGGCAGGCAGATGGTGTGACTGACTGTCCATCGGGCGCTTTACTAGTCGTGTAAGCATGCTGATTTTATCTAAGAATAGGCTGGCCTTTCTCACTTCATTTTAGGAGGGAAGATTGCAGGGACACACCCCAGTCATTTAAGTGCGCTCGTCATTTTCCTTGGACTTCAATTTTGCTGCTTTTTTAAAAGTTCAAAGATTAGCTCTTTACAAAAGGTAGCAGTCTGGGAGGAAGCAAGTCTATTTCATAAAAGGTTACATGACTTTCTCCACCAAAGACAGCATTTCTCTGAAATACCAATTCGTGATAAAAGCAGTGTTTTGGCAATTCTGCAATTGACCAGTGTTCAGCACTTACCAAATCGACAAGGCTGTCATCAGGAGACTCTCCTTCTGTACTTCCAAGGATGGTGAGGTGCTTCTTACCTGGGAGAGCAACTCCTGTCAGTTTTGTGTGGTGGCAGAAGCAGTTCACACATAACAGCCATGGGGTTCAAATTAGAAATTGGCCAGAGATTTAAAACTTAAACTTTAAGAATTTAAAAGTTTTAATTTTAAGAACAGAGAGCGGAGTCAATTATTTGACCACCTAAGAGTTCTAAAGTAGACACTTGCATTTTCTCATCTGAACATTGTGCTGGGTTTATCTGTTTAGTCTTCTTTCTAGTAGCTTAGGTGCTGTGGGCACTATATACCACATTTCATCACATTTAAGATTTGTTACTTATGAGGTGCACTGCCATTTTATCACCACTAGAAAGGAAGAAATGTTCACTTCGGATCGACATGTTTCTAGGACCTCAGCTCCAAGACATGATTCATTCTGTTGCTATTCCACATAAGAAAATACGTGTCTTCAAGTCAGTGAACTGTGGTAAGTACATGGGCAGCGACTGTGGAGTTGATAGCCTGTATTATGACTTTCTCACTTCATATAGAATTTTATTCAAAGGCATCTGTCTTTATGGATATTTAGAAGAGCAATATGGGTAGTATTTAATCATTTGAAGGCCTCAGGACCCTTAAAGTTTGCCAAAGCCTATGAAGGGCACAGGCCAGAGTCCTTACTGTGGCGACAGTTTGCCATCTACAGTGATGACAGAATGCCTACTGAGGGGTGGGCCTGAGGGGAAAGGTCATCTGACTCAGATGACTGCCCTGCCTGCCATTCCGTCCTCTGGCACCTGCCCTGGCCCCTGGCTGCCAGTCAGGCTCTTAGTCCTGCTCTGGGTCTGAGACTGCCCTTGTGTCTAGTTTCCAAAGCCTGTTCATGGTATTCATGTGTCTGGCACCGTACATAAGGACCCACGATGCCCATGAACTCACTGGGGTTCACAGTCCAGTGGGAGATATCAGCCATTAAATAATCAGACATTGTGGTCAGCACTACAAAAAGAAAATATGCGATAGTACAAGGAAGGTTCGGAGCAGAATCAGGGTGGGGGAGGTCTGAGGAGGCCTATGCATTCATGGGCATTTCACTTAGGACTTGAAGGATGAGTAGCTAGCCAGGTAGATGGCCCAGAGAAAGGCATTCTAGAGCAAAGGAAAAGCATGTGCAGGCTGAGAGGTAGGAAAGAGTTTGAAAGTTTCGGAATTAAAAAAGTAAGCATGGGCAGTGGGATGAGCACAGTGTTGTGGGGAAGCTATTTAACCCCGCCATGGCTCATTTCTCTTAGGTAAATGGAGGGACAGTGTGTGCTGTGCACTTCACAGGGCTGCAGTGAGCATTAAAACCAAAGCTAAACGCCTTATGTACTACACAGAGATGCTCTTCTCTGCCATTCCAGGCCAATCAAAAAAAAAACAAAAACAAAACTTTTCAGCTGTCCCCAGAGCTGGGCTAAGGACCTGCTTCCAGATGCTTCCTTGATGCTACCCAATTTGCCCACCTGCCCAGCAGCTTCCCATTGCTGTAGGTGAACCTGCCTCTGCCCCTAGTCACTGTACTCAACAGAAAACTGCCTGCTTGTGCTGATGGGGTCCTCTTGCTGCCTGTTTTTCTTAACTGGGGAACTAGACCCATTCCCTGCTGCAGGTGATCCAGTTCAAACTCTGATCCCTCCACCAGACTTCCCTAAGGCAAGGCAAGTTCAAGTGGCTAAATTGATTTCAATCAAGTAACGTTACATCCTTACTCTGTACTTAGGCTCTGCTCTCTAGAGCACAAAGTGATAGTGAACAGAGGGAATCTGTAACACTTTAGCCAAGTGACATAGGCCAACTGCCTCTGTCTCTGTCTCTGTCTCTGCAGCTCCCTGGTGGTGCCTGACACCTTGTCCTTTGTGAGTGCTAAGCTGACTTCCTGAGCTTTCAACACTGTGCTGTCTAGAAATCTGACTGGAGTACCAGCTATTCTGTCCACTATTCTGTCCACTATTCAGAGTCCGTGACCTAGCCTTTAGCTGTAAGGTTCTGGGTTTCTCTAAAGCTTTTCTATCACCTAAGCTCACAGCCTCAAGCAAACTGAGAAATGTGCTAGTGGCTGTGCCTTATAAGAAATCAGGCCTTGCTCCTCCTGTTAGGGGCTGAAAAGCCCTTCCCACTGTGAAGCTGATGGGGTAGCCTTGATCACACCTGTGTGGTGGCCCTCAGTATGGGGGATGACCTGGTAGACTAGGGCTGTTTCTGGAACCTTGTGAATCACCAAGTTATGGTTTGTTTTCCAGCACTGAATCTCCCATAAAATGGCTGGGTTTTCTTTTCTTTGGAGATTTATTCCTTGCTTTTTAGTAACTTGGGTACACTTCATATTTTTGGCTTCTTGTATAACCAGATCATTATGAGTCTTTCAGATCTGTATTTTACTCACTGTCAATAATGTTGGTTATTTCCACCAAGTCAGACATAGTAGTTTGGTTTGTATGTTTTATGATCAGTCCATGGGATCTGGGGCTGCCGATACCTCCTTGCTCTAGAAGTTTAGAAATGCTTTTGGATGCAGTTCCTGCAATTATGTAGCACCTGGAACTGAGAGCATTATAGATGCTGTCCCACTGTTCAGCGTCCTGGGTAAATATTTAAGAATTGATCATTCTAATGTACAGTACACAATCACAAGCCTCAGGAATCATATAGCACATAATCAAAGTCATACACTTTTCCTGAGATACACAAAACATTTTCTTTCACATCCATGCCTGAGTGATTCCTGTACCATAGCCACACAAATTAGCAAGCTTCAAGGAAGATAAACTTCAAGTGATTTAATTTGAATTAAAAAATCTTGTGAATAAAATGTGAATGTGCTAAATGCCATTCCCACATTGACTGTGGTGTTCTGAAAACCCAGGCTGTTCTCATCCACTGTACCACCCCTAATGCTGTTCACAACTCACTGGATAGAAGATTTTTCTGTTATTTCTGATAAACGTAAAACTGAAAAGATAGAACCTTGCCAGGGCTTTCTGCCATCTTTCTGAAGGCCCTTCCCTGTTTTTATTGGTGAGGGTGTCATATGAAATGAAATGCTTATTTAACAAATGGTGTGTGTGTCTGTATATATTTGTATATGCACAAATCTACACACAAGGTCATTCACTAGGCTAATTTCAACCTACCCCATTAGAACTGACCACACAGGTGCCCCCTATCACAGGAAAAAAAAGCTGAGGCTGGGGGCTGGGGTTGTGGCTCAGCAGTAGAGCGCTAGTCTAGCATATGCAGGGCCCTGGGTTTGATCCTCAGCACCACATAAAAATAAATAAAATAAAGTTATTGTGTTCAACTACTTCTGAAAAATAAATATTAAAAAAAAAAAGCTGTGGTCAGAGCCTCAGAACTGTCCTCACAAGGAGAGTCTGGCATGAGTTCAATGGGTGTCTTCTGAGAGTACTGATAAGTAGCGGAGACCAGGAAAGGATGGAAGGAACTGTCCCCAGGTCTCAATAAGAAAGGATGTTTGTCTGTCTTTTCAATATACTATGGACTCTCAAATTCATTACATCAAGAATTCTAATTTTGGAGTTTGAAGGTGGGAGAGATGACCTTCTATGATCTGTAGACAATGCTTGTCGGGTGCATTTGTTTAAACAGGACAAAAATCTCAGTATCTCAAACCCTTTTTTAAAAGATGGCTTTTTGTTACTTTTATGCATATATAGTAACTGGATTTAGGTTAAAAAATATTTGGCCTCGCAGAAGTCCTGTTTCCATGAGCACATGAAAATGACATATGATTAACCCACTGAAGCACCAGCGAGCACAGCGGGGGTGGCTTCCATCAGCTAGGTTGCTTGTAAATACACAGGTACTCCTGAAGGGCTGGCGAATGGCTTGTTTCATTCCACAGACAGGCATGCTCCCAGGTAATTGTGTTTCTGCTATTCATTTGCTTAGTAAGTGCCTTTCTCATAAATGCCAAAAGAAAGCAAGTTAACCCCAGCCCAAATTATAACACATTCCAAATGTCAGAGATCCAAAAGAATGAGGTTTTATTCTGTTTTGTTGTAAAATGCAAAAGGTAAGCCTGCTTACTTTATAGCGTGTAAAATATATGTTATAAAATATAAAAGGTGGGCCCTGCTTACCTCCTTCCTGAAAGGATCAATTAAGGCTATAATGTAAGGGTACTTGTTGATCAAATCCACATACAGGTCAACCATCTCGGCAGCGCTCTTGTAGACGCCCGCCATCACCTCGTACTTTCCTTTGCTCTGATGAGTATAAGGAAAATGGTAAAACAAAGAATAAGCAATGGACTCTTCAGATGTTAAAGATGCAATTCAAATTCCTTTCTGTTCATTTCATATGAAATACTGTCAGCAGATTCAAGTCACATTCCTCTAATAAATTTATGCATTTGGCTTCAAATATCTTTAAAAGATTATCCTGGGAAGCCAAGTCACTGTTCCTCTTGATGCCTTTGGAATTCTTCCCACAGACATCAGATGAAGCCTTCTGCACAAAAACCCAACAGGTACAGAGTGGGAGGGGACTTGTTTTTTATTTAGACTTCTGATATGGTGCCAGGTGCCCAGCTGCCTGGGTAGGTGGACAATAGCATGAATTCGTAAAACAATGAACAGAATAGCAGTGCAAACCTGCCCACTCTCTAGAACCCACTGTCTTGCAACTCACTGTGATCAAATGATTTGTTTCCTTTACTGTAAATATTCTAAACTTTGAAAACAGGGCTAGGCTTTGGAGTACTAACAACCAATATGGAATGTGAACGAAGGCACTTTGTTTTCAGGGAGTATGAAACTTCCAGAGGGAACCATACTGTCCTAAAGTGAGATTCTAGGGCAATCCCACTTAGCTGAGTTATTAAGTATGGAAATAAACAGGGCTGGAAGATTCAGGGTTGTCTTTTTGCCAAAGCTCCTGACGTTCAAAGCTATGTGCAGGGGTAGTGCCTGGGGTATCCGGGCTCTGAGAGGGAGATAGGACAGAGAGATGGCTGTTTTGCTTGCTGATGGCTTCCAGCCACTGCTGCTGACAAACCGTGGAATTAAGAAGATTCCTAAGAAGTCCATAATTGAAGAGATTTTATAGGGCTTTTTCCTTCCTTTATAAAGCATTAAGAACTTTTAGCTTCTGTGATGCATAACTTTAAACTCCTATCTTGTCAGGGAGGAAATGCTAATGACTTTGAGCTAATATGATTATAAGAATTATATGATATAAAGCTAATACATTTTACTGAATATAAGCAATAAATACCCATCTAGTCAGCTGTAGCAATCAGTATCTTCATAGTTCTGGGTATACATTGCTGATGAAAACATGCAATTATTTTTCTTAATGGTATGCCTAGGAACCAATCATTATGTGAAGACTTGGGAATTAAACATTCCTTTATGTGCTTAGTTTCTTTAAAAAAGTAAAAGAACTTTAGAAAGCAGCCCAAACTTACGGCTCTTATATACCATTCAAAACTTCCTTTGTAGTCAAAGTTAGGATCACAGTTAAAGAAAAAAACGTATTTTGTCACGTCCCCTGAATTTGACATTAATTACCAACTCTATCAATGCCTGTCAATATGCTGCCATTTTATAAAACTGAGACTCAGTATTTGTATATTTGGAAATGGGAAGTATATATGTGTGTGAGACAGAAAGCTTCCAGAGTTCCTAGAATACAGATTTCCCAAGTGTAAAGGTACTTAGTTGTATGAATCTGAGGAAGTAAGGACAGAACCTGTTTTCCATTTTCTTCCTCTTTAAAAGATCTCTCTAGTGGCCTGATCAGCAGATAGTATGTCATCACTGAGAGTCTGTTTCCCCAACCAAGGCTGGGGATGATACTTTAATGTATCTAGTTGGATAAAAACTTCAATCACCTAGAAATATTTTTCTATAAAAAGTGAGGGCTGGGGTTGCATCTCGGTGGTAGAGTACTTGCCTATCGAGTGTGAGGCCCTGGGTTTGATCCCCAGAATTGCAAAAATAAGAAGTGAGTCACAGCATAAATTCTTAAGAACCACTTGTCTATCAAGTCCTTGCTACAACTGATCCACTTTTCATGCTTGACAAATTCAGCATTTACCAAGTGACTACACTCAGTAAAATATACCAGTTGGTTATTTTTCAGTAGCGTTCATGATTGCAATGTAAGTTACCTATTTTATTCATTTATTATAGAATTCCTATATATGAGCATGGCATTTTATCTTATTATTTTTAAAAATTATATAGTTGTTATTCATTGGTGATTAGCTAATTTGGCTTTCTCAACTCCATTTAGATGAGATCCCTCACACAATATTAAAACCAAAAAAAAAAAAGGCATCTGTTGGAAAATATTCCAGTAAGCCCTTCTTTTGAATTTTCATTTAAAAATCATGGACCTTAACAAGAAGTGAATGTTCTCAAGTAGAAACTTACATAGTCTATCAGCTCATGGCCGGCACAGTTGATGGCTAGATGCAGATTGGTTCCCAGTTCCAGCCCCAAGTTGGCACAGATTCCCTGTATTAGAAGCAGCAGCTGTTCTACGGTGTCGCAGGTAATGATCAAACAACCAAGATGGGACATCTTGCTAGTGATGGGTGGCTACACGGTCAGAAGAAAATGATGAATGTCAGCCCAGCACATTAAGGTCCTGAGATAGTCCTAGCTCATGACGGGACACAGCTCTCCAAGACCAAGTCCTTCCATTCTTGATTAATCCTACTTTCCAGGTCCCACTTTCAGGACTTTGGGCATATGATTTACCTGCGCTATCTGCCTATATTATTGTTTTATCAGCTCTGTCACTGTGCATGGGGCTAGCTAGCCTAAGCCACCACCACTAGGTCAGTAAATCTCCAGGCTGTCCCTGTAAATGTCCACCAGACTCCAACTCACCAGTCCTCTTCCTCAAAACTTGCCCTTTCTTATGTTCTGTTTTCCTGTAAATGAACATAACTGCTAAAACTTAAAAAATGTAATCCTCCTTCAGCATAAGTCTTATTTTCAGAAGGATTGAAGACTTTGGTTAAAAAGATGCATTACTGGGGATAGATTTTAGTAAGGAAGATCTGGGGACCCAAATGACCCCAGGAAAAAGCAGCTATTTGTTTCTACTGCAAGGTCAGCCTTGACGTGCCCTCACCTATATTGTTACATTATGATTGCAAGGTGAAGCAATACCCGTGGTTCTGAGGGCTTAAGAGTAGATGTGAACCTAGGTATAAATATTAGTAATGGCACTAATTATAAGAACATCCAACATTTTTTTTAATGTCAATAATAGGAAGCTTCTATTGAGCAAGCAAAGAAACAACTGGGAAATTTTTGCCTATTGATTGAGTTTAGTAAAGCTACAGCTGAATTCCATGAAGCAAATGCACCTGTTCCTTATGCTAACACCATGAAGCAGGACTGCCATTATCTCCATTTTACCAAGATGACGTGATCTGGGACAGATTTTAATGCTGGCACACCTTAACTCTGGTGTGGTAGCTTCTCCAGAACCTATTATCTAACCTGTTTCTAACAGGGAAAAAAACAAATTTTTTTTTAAAGGGAAGCTGATCACAGGGCAGATCTTGGCCTCAGCCTCTCAGTATATGCAAGACAACCTGCTGGAATGAAGAGGACAATGTTAATTGGTCAACGCTTCTCCATCCCCACCTCTCTTACAAGGCCTAATTAGAGTGTTGTGCTCATTCCAGCATATAACTGCCAAGGATTTTAGTTGCTGATGAATTTATTCACATTTTCTTAAGTTTCTTTCTGAGCTGCCCCCTCTTTGTTGACTTCAACAGACTCTGAAGTCCCTGACTGTGTGCTGGGACTGCTGCCTTACCCAGAGACGCTGTAGACCTGAGAGGCCACCCGCCTGCATCACCTCCAGAGTTCTCACTGAAGATACTTTGGAAAGTTAGACATATATAATAGGTACATGTATCAGAGCATCCACAATCACCAAAGTGACTGACCAGTGAAATTAGCTGACCTCCCAAGGCTCTGGAGGCCAAGTGGCCACTTTTCACAAGGATGGTTTGCCTGAACTCTCCTGGCAAACTCTTGAGTTCCCACAATGGCTCCTCTCACGTAGTGCTTTTCAAAACCAGAGAGAAGGAATGGCTATCTTTTTGTGCCATTTTCATTCTATCATTGGTAGTGGCAGAATTAAAATCTAAAACATCTAAAAGCCTTTCAGCTAGTTAAGGGGACATTCAGCTTCCTAAGCCCTTCACTGTAGGGTCAGATATAATCCTGTTCCTCATAAATGCTCCCGAGTCCTCTGAGACTTTGGCAGGCTGACAGCTGCTGGCAGCCATGGCCAGGTAGCCTGTTGCTGGTAAGGCAGTGGCCAACTGATGTTCCAGCTCTGGGTTGGTGCCCTTAAAGCAACATCACCCTGTGTTTTCCATTTGTCTTGAAGCAAAGTAACTATGGGAGAGAAAACGAAGCAGGTTACATAAAGCACCCTACAGAAGTGTGGTGAACACCTTTGTATACGCACTTGACCTCTTTTGCTTCCATTAGGTCCTTTTTTGGTCTCCACTTTTGGAGGAGGGGGCTGTGGAATAGAAGGTAAAAACATAACCACTTGGGATTTTGAGACTTAGCTGTGGCAGCAAGAAGAGTTAAGATCTTCTAACTATCCACTTATGGGGACTGCACAGCCACACTGCAAATCTCAGACACAGACACCCACGCACATATACACAAGGAGGATAAGTCCAGCTACTCCCTACTTTTTTAAGTCCCATTCTGTAAATTCAGGCACATATTTCCTTTAGTTCACCCTTACCTTCTGCCCCCAGTCACACACAGGGGTGTGCATACCCATAGATTTGTGTTTCTACTCTTGGGAATGAAGTATTTGCACATCAAGTGGAACTCCTGCTCTCTTTTGCCAGAGGATGCAAAATCCCCTCTTGGTCTTAAGGAGTATTATTACCTTCTACCATTGGATTTGCTTCTATAGGCCCAACATATTGTTTCTAATATTCTCAGGGTATGTGTGTATATATATGTGTGTGTGATACACACACACACACACACTTTCTCTTGCAGAGTGGATTTGGGTTTTGGAAATAGCCAATGGTCCTTAAATCCTTTACAAATTCCTTAAGGATGATGTTAGCACAGAGCCAGCTACCTCAGAAATCAAAATGAGAGTCTTTCCTCCCAGCTTCTCAGGAGGCTGAGGCAGGACGATCACAAGTTCCAGGCTAGCCTGGGCAACTTAATGAACCCTGTCTCAAAAAAAGAAAAAATAAATCTTCAAACTGAGATTGTTTAATACATTTAGAAAATGGATCCATAGCAAATGAGGAATGTATGCACTTGGTTTGCATAAGAAACCCAAAATAAATGTATTTTCTATAGCAGTAATACCAATATTGACTTAATGACAAAATGAAATAGGAGTTCGATGCTAGAAGGCAAAGGTCAGTAACTAGACACTATGGATCGTTACTTACCGATTCCATTACTTTGTTAATTTGTTTCTGAATTTCCAGAAGCATCTCCACACCCTGTAAGTAGAGTAACCATCATCTTCTAAAACTGTTGTCTACAAATATTAAATGCGAACACTTACACCACCTGTCTGTTCCTAACTCAGAATATTTGTAGAGTCCCTGAAAATGGCCCCCAGTTGGTGGACAGAGTGAGCTGCAGAATTGGAAGATTAAATGTTAAATCTCCAGCCCCCAGCTTGCATTTGACTGAGCATGAGCAAAAGCCTCTGTCTCAGCCTCCTCATTGCTCAGAATTGACTAGCCCTGTGATTGGACCAAGTTAATTTCAGACTCTTTCATGGTCTTTAAGCCAACCTAGTCAACATTATTGCAATACGTGTCACAGGTCAACAACGTAGTCTGGATAAGAGTGGCCAAATCAGTTTAAATCCACTTTCACTTAAAAATTCAAGAGTGTGCTCTGAGGATGACATAAAGAAGGCATGCTGAGGCCTCTGGTGCCAAGCAGCACAAGTACTATCCAAAGGAAAGATCCTGATGAGGGGATCCAAATCTGACCTGGCAGATGGTGAGCAAGACAGCAATCTGTCTTCTGTGACTAATCAATTGCAAGGTAATAATGATTTTGCTGAAGAAAGAATTCTCATAAAGAAAGCATCCTGAGGGTTTATTTTAAAACCTAGTTCCACTAACTTAGAAAAATATCAGTCTTTATTCCGGGAGGTGTGAGAGGAAGCTTCCTGAACTTTTTCTGAGCGTGTAGACTGCAGAACATACACCTTTAGCTCTCCTGACTGGCAGAACAATTCGTGGAGATCCAAAGAGGCATAATGGCTCTTTCAGGCCACTGAAGAGCAACATAGACAACACTAGCCCACCTCTGAGAAATGAGGATGAAATTTAGGATTCCTTTCTTCCTTCCATATATATGCACTAAACATCCCTTACGTGCCAGGCAATCTGCTAGGCCTGGAATTCTTCACAGAGTGGGCTGCCAGGAAAGTGCCAGCTTCCACTAGCTACTGCCAATTAAAAAAAAAATGAAGGGCACAGACTTCCCAACTCCCCCAGGTAACAACCATCCCTCACCACAGAGGTCTCCAGAGTCACTCGCTCCTTGCTTCTCTGATTCAGAGGCATGAGCCAGTGCTGTGTCAAACCAGACATCAACGGGGTCTGCTCCCTTTGGGGGTCTTACTTTCTTCCCACTTTCCTGATTTCCCTAAAATATTTTTTCTTGTTTTTAATTCTCTTTCCCTTTGGTGTCATAAGGGAGCTATGTTTTAAAAAAATCATCAATGATGGAGTATTTGGTTTTTTCTTTACTTTAAAAAAAATTTTTTTAAGAAAATGTAGTCTGGGAGTAATATAAGATACTTGTTTGGTTGTCAATCCAGGATGGGGAATGCAAATCACTTCTTTCATTAAATTTAATTTTCCAGGTGATGACTTCCCACAGCTGGCGAGAGATACCATCAGCAAAGGCATAGTTAGTGTTGTTGGCTGTTCCTAAAATAAGAGGAAAGAAGGGGAAAATGAGAAATGTGGTTCATTCACATTGAGCCCCTCAGGGCTTCTCATGGTGGAATAAAACAAATCCTAACCTGATTGTGCTTCAGCAATGCAATGTTCAAGTACAGAGGAATACTGCCCAGTATAGCGCTGGTTTTGGCAATAGCTAGTGACACAGCTCCTATGGCCATACTGCCGCAGAGCACGGGTTCAGCAGGTTCTGCAGGCGGGATAGGTTTCTCTGTGATGGTTTCCTTCCTTCCTGGAGGAAAAAGGAGAAAAGATTCTAGGAAGTTGGACTGTCACACAACTGTACCTTAAATGCTTCACGGATAGCTGGGAATGCCCAGCAAAAAATGAAGGTTGAAAACAGGCTAGGAAGAACCTGTTCTCCACCTCAAGTGCCCAGAAGTTTTCTGTTTGATTTCACTTACCGATCCCCCCAAAATTCTGAACTGTGAATTTTGTCTAAGCAATTTGAGGCCAATGCAATATCAACTCCTTCAGTTGTCAAATGAGGTAGATGTTTGTTATCCAACATCCTATGTAAGTGAGCTGGGGCTTCAAGAGATGAAAAAACTTGTGCAATATGTTACAAAAAGTGAATGAAGAAAGGATTTGGATGGTTTTTTTTTTAATTCTAACTCCTTTGCTTCTCTGCATTTCTTTGAGCTGCTGCATACTCCACCTTCTGTTAAGCATCTAGTCAATGTGTATATCTAACTTGCCACCTTCTTCACCAATCCTAAACTCATGTTTGCTTCCGTGTTGTTTACCATTTCTAGAAATGCCTTAGGCCCAGTAGTCTACCCAGAATCTTTGCCATCTTTCACAGGTTCTCAGCCATGCTGTCTGATCAGGTACCACAGAATTCATCATCAACCTGTAATGTTCTCTTGTCCTCCCCACCACAGGTACTGACCCTGGCTCAGGTCCTCAGTGGAAATGAGATGCCTAAGCAGCCAGCAGATATCCAGATACCTAGATATCTAGTGCCTAGCAAGTTACTGTCCCCTCCTACATTTTCTCCTCTCATAAAGTCTAAGTTCTTTCAGTCAGAAGCAGCTGCCAAATGAACATTCATTGGTGGCCTGTATTGTAACTCAATAGTGACCATCTCACTCTTGGGACAGAAGACAGGTCTAGCATGATTCTGTTCGTAATGGGGCCCATTTAAAATTAAAAGCCCCAAATTGTTTTTTCCTTCTTAGCCTCAGCCATTTCCCCTTAACCTATTCATTAAGCTATTTTCTCTATCACAGCTTCCTACAGGTGATAGTCTCACACTGAGAATGGAAGCTAAACTGCCCCTGCCCCCAAATCTCTGGCACCAGCACAATTTGGAAAATCAGAATCATAACATAATCTTTCAGCTAGCACAGCCTGGCTGAATCTACATATGTATATTTCCTGGCTTTGTTCCTATAAATCATAATATTCAGAAGGCAGATTAGCTGTCTTTCCAGTTTGGGCCAAATTATGATTAAATTCATTTTTCTTTTTGTATCATTTTCTCTCATTTCAGATTTGGGTGGGTGATTGAATCTAGTCAGTTGGGACCCCGGGAGGCCTCTGGCCTGGGTCCCAGGAACATTTTGCCTTGGTTAATTCTCTTCCCTTTGCTGGACCTCAGCAGCTGCTATTAATGAAATAAAGGACCTGTCTCCATGGTCTCTTTGGTCACTTTTTGGTCTGGTGCTCTGTTATTCATCGGTACCCACATTTACTGGGTGGTTGGCTGTGCCTGGCATCATGCTAGACTTTAGCAATGGCAAGCTGAATGAGGCAGGAGTCACTCATCCCCGCAGGGAACCCTCAGTTTAGTAGACATAAAAGCACAATTACAGCAGAAGTTCCAGCACTCACACACCGGAGGGGCTAATGTTAGCTACCTATTGGAAGACAGGAAGCAAAGGGCAAAGTGATACCTGTATAATTTGCTTTAAAATACTAAAGTTGCTTAAAGAAAATGTTTATTTACGTGTGACATAAGCCCGAGAAAGTGTTGGTTTCGGAAAGTGTCGGATTTACATTATATCAAAGGATTCAGTATTCTAAAATATGGAGTGGCCCTTTGATTACTTAATGGCAATTTACTGAGGAGATGAAAGTTCCCCAGTGTCATCCCATCCCCACCCTACCACTCATTGCCACTGTTCAATGTACTTTAACTTCTTTCTTTATTTTTTGTAGTGCTGGAGATCAAACCTCTACACTGACCTTCACCCACAGTCCTCAATGCACTTTATTTACCAAGTGTTCACTTCTAAGTGATAAACTAATCATTTTTTCTCAAAAATAAAAATGGAGGGTAATGTGGGTCCAACTTAGCACAGCAGCTTCAAGCAGGGACATGGCATGGAGGGTGGGTGGCACTTGGCTGAGAGCCAGCCAGCCTTTCTTTCTCTCATGTTTGTCAGTAAAGGTTCTGAAGATGTCTGGCCACCAACCTGGCTTCTGCCCTTTCTTTTTGACAGGAGGCGGAGCGGGTGGTGGTGGCATTACAGGTGGAGGTACTGGCGCTACTGACTCTTCCAGGCTCTTCTCTAGTTCTTTCCTTTCCTTGTCTTCTTGTACTTTATTTGCGAAGAATAACCTTAATGGCGAGAAAACAGCTTTACAGTGACATTTAGGAATACCACTCTGTGCTTTTGGTTGAGTTTTAGAGTTGACCTGACCCCAGTGTGCTTCAATAATATGCTCTATGGCAACTTAAGGACAAGTCAGCTTTAATTTCCAAGACCTAAAAAGAATGCTGGTGTTATAAAACTGTGTTCAAGAACTGAAATTCATTTTGGCCTAGAAAGAAATGTTTAATGATTTTCAGGGGCTCATTTTTTAAATTACTTGAGTTCTGTTTGCATTTTTAAAAATTACACACACACACATACATTTTAGTCCGATGGACCTTTATTTTATTCATTTATTTATACATGGTGCTGAGAATTGAACCCAGGGCATCACACATGCTAGGCAAGGGCTCTACCACTGAACCACAACCCCAGCCCTCTGTTTGCAATTTCAAAGTAAAATTTAAAGACCTGGGGCTGGGATGTGGCTCAAGTGGTAGCACACTCACCTGGCACGCGTGAGGCACTGGGTTCGACCCTCAGCATCACGTAAAAATAAAATTAAAAATATTATGTCCACCTAAAACTAAAAAATAAATATAAAAAAATTAAAAACCTAATTTGATGAAGGGCTACTCAATTATTTTTGTATAAATGACATTCGGAAGACAAATCCTTCAAGAATACACAATGGAATACACAAAAAGCAGTATGTGGCTGATGTCTTATTTTTGGAAGAGGAAACTGGGGGTCTTTAAAGGGAATACTTTTAAAAAGTTTGGGAAATGCTACTTAAGTGCAACTAGGCAACAATTTTACTCCCCCAGAATAAATAAATTAAAAAAAAAAGACTAAAAATTTCCATAGACAAAAAGCAAGCAAATAAAAAGACATGGGAATCAGATTTACATTATATTTGTGAAATAATCTAGATGCTAGTGAGGCAGTGCCTTTAACGGACCGAGAGAAATTGATTTGGACATAGAATTCTATATTCAGCCAAACTATCAATCATGAAAACAAAGTACTAACATTTCCACATACATCAGAACTCAACAACCTTACTTCCCATATACCCTCTCTCACCTGTACTTTCCAATAGAATCCATCAAGTCAAAAAAGGAAAATATGGAATCCAGAAACAGGAGAACATAAATCTTTATGATATCTCTATGGTAGACCCAGAGAGGAACCAGTCCAGGAGCAAGCCCCCCTCCCCCAAATTAATATGTGGAATGGCATTCAAAACCTCCAAGAGAACCAAAAACTACTTCACCAAGTCTTTTACAAAGGTAAAAGACTCTGAGGCAAACTAAAACGTTATACACAATTTAAAAAGTGATAAAGCTTAAGGAAAGAGAATCCAGTTGGCCTTTGCTTGGCCAAGGGGGTTGAGGCCTTAGGCCTGCACAACAGGAAAAGTGATTAACCCGTTACTTGGTGCAGTACCGAGCTGTACTTACACAGCCCTTTCTGAAAAATGCTTCCTTGGTTTTTGATTTTTGGAGTCAACCCATGAGCTAAGCATGAAAAGACTTGGTTGTTGGAGGACAGGGTATAAGCAACAGCCATTGTGACTACATGGAAGGACATGAGCAGCTCAAAAGGTGGCCCCTGAAGGGGTGAGAAGAGGGAGAGGACATTATCTGGATTTGTAACTTGATCCTTCCCTTGTGCTGAATCCTAGGGATGCTGTATGCCTGAGAAAAAGACAAAAAGGCCCTATGTAACCTTACATAGTAAGATTTTAATAGCAGGATTTTCAGCAGAAAGACCATATTTTATGTTAAATTTTGCTGCCTTAATATATGCTTTTTAAATTGACTTCCCAACTCTGTAAATTTCTGACTTATTGGCAGGTGAAAGGTAGACAATAGACTCTATATATTCTTGATGGTTTCTATTTCAATGGAGGCTATACCTGAGCATGTGATCCACCTGGGCCTGGTTGGAGGGCACCAGGCCCCGCAACTCCTCGGTGATGGTCTCATTGACCCACTGTATGGCGGTGCTCACTGCCAGGCCCCTTTCCACCTCCTCTGCCTCCACCACCTCTGGCAAAGCATTCTCGTGGACCTCAAAGTGAGTGGGGATCATGACGGAGCAGATGTTCTGAAAATAACATGAATGTGATCTATGGTTTCTCTATTTCTCACAGTAAATAGGAAATTGGATTAATCCATCTTTTAACATGCATGGTCTTTATCACCAATTCCAAAGGAAATGAGAATATGTATAATTTTCTTTGAGATATTTTTATAGTTGTTGAAACTGTAAAACCTGACTTCATGAAACATTTAAAATTATTACTTCTTAAAATGTAGTAAACCCTACACTGAACTTTATTTTTTATCACTACCTCTTCAATAAATAGCTATAAGGATATAAACATGTTTAATCATAATTATTCTCCTAGAGTTTGTAGCAAAATTAATTTCTAACAAATATGGTGCAATTAAGGCGAATTAAAATGAATTTCTGAAATTATTTAAATGAATCATTTAAATCAATCTACATATCTATAAATCTATATATAAATATACAAACCTATAAACCTGTATGTTGATTTATTAAACTCATCACATTAGTAATTTCAGAGTTTTAAAACTATTTTTACCTCATTTTTTTTTTGTTCATCTTGGATATTCCTCAGGTTAGCATGTCACATTTGTATCAAAATTACACTTAAACATAACAAAAATATAAATCATGGTTGGTTGACTCACATTTACTCGACTAGCTATGAACTATATTTTTTACAAACACTGGATTTGAAAGCATTAATTTTCTACAGTTTAGACAAAAGTTGCTAATAAATGCAGTGGATTCAAGAAGTGTTAAAGAACACATTTTAAACTGGCTCATACCTTGGGAAAATTTTGAATGGTGCAGAATATTTCCACTTGTAGGGTTGGAAGCCCCAGTCCATCCAGTACATTTTTACCCACTATTTTGCATAGGGTGGGAGGCTTTGCAAGTTTAGAAAAGTAGTTTGCCTTCAACACACACAGACACACAAAAACAAAAATCAGAATAGCACATCTAATTTATCTTCAAAAGGTTGTTCACATTTACACTAGTTTAACAAAACCTCTCCATGAGTGTCCTTCCTGGCACTGGGGTTAGACTACAGCTCCATGGGAATAGGCTTGCTCTCACCATCATTGAGATTTGGATTCTACCCTACGATAAGTCTCTGGCACATGGGGCAATGTGCTGTCATTGGAAATCTCAATGGAAACCATGATACTTTTCTTAATCTAAACTTTAAGGTCTCATGTCATTCCTGAAAGCCTTCTGATAGTCAACTCAATTCCCTAATATATCTCTAGAACTCTGTGACACGTTCAAATTTAATAACCCTGTGGAGGACTGAATTTTATCCCTCCCAGCAAGGCACCTGATCTTTAAAGGATGAAGACTAGTGCAGTCACTGCATCGCACTAGCTCATGCGTAGTCCTACATGGGCAAAAAAGCTCATAGGGAACTTAGAACTAGCCATTTCACTGAGGTGGAAAAGCAGAAGCCAACTGGAAGTGATCCAAGGAAGAGAGTGAGGAAAGAGAAGGAAGCTAAGGTGGAAAGCCCACTCCAGGACCCTGAGTGAAAAATCTCCAGGTGGTGGTTCACTGCAGAGGAACTGGGGTGAGGAGAGGATAGAAGCAAGGAAAGCGAAGCTGCACCCTCCTCACTCTCTTTATTTCCATTTAGCAGATTAGGTCTCTGGTCATTCATTTAAAGAGCCAGTGGCTTCAGCCTAGACAACAGGTATTCTAACACAGCAACAAGCCAGCTCAAAGGTGGGGCCTTGCAGGCCTGAAGCAGAAGCAATTTCCAGCCATCTGAGCATTTAAGGATGGTGGTTTGTGTGCTACAAAGTAAGTGCCTAAATGAATGTGGATATACTTAAGGGATGAAAAATGTTACTAAGCTTATATAATTTGTGTTCAACAAGTACCAAGTGCCTAGGACCTTCAGTGTACCATATTGCGTTTGGAGGGGAAGGGAACTAACATTTCCAAGTGCTTAATACTTTTCATTGACCCACTCTATGGCCGTGCTCACTGCCAGGCCCCTTTCTACCTCCTCTGCTTCCACCAGCTCTGGCAAGCATGGTGGAAGCATTCTTATGGACCTCAAAGTGACTATGTCTTCCTTTCACTATGGTATCACACACCATAGTGCTTGGCATAAATAGATTATTTAAATTAATGATTATCAGACTCATCCCTGGGCACTCTGTGTATATTTTGTTATCAGATTCCCAATCTGTTTAAGGTAGGTGGTATCATCTCCATTCCACAGAGGAGCAAATTGAGCTCCAGAGAAATAAAACGTCCAAGATTGCATTCCCATGTTTTAATGATCTAAAGCTTTAAACAGTCTTCCTTGGAACTTAGTGGCAGAAACCATTTATTGGCTCAGAATTCTGCTGAGTTGCACTCAACTGGGGCATTCTTTCACTGGTTGTGTCTGGGTTCTCCTATGCAGATGAAATCATCTGGAAGCTTGACAAGGGCCAGAATAGCCAGGGGCTGGCTGGGCAGCCGTCTTTCTCACAGGGACCCTGGCTGCGTGACATCTGCCAAGGCCTCTTTGTATGATCTCTCTCTCTCCAGCAGGATAATTGGACTTCCTCACAGCATGAGGACTAGCTTCCAAGAAGACAAGTCTCAATATGCCAGCACTTACCAAGCCTTTGGACATGCCTGCCAAGGTCCTATTGATCAAAGCCAGTCACATGGCTGAGCCTGGAGTCAATGTGGAAGGGACTTCCATCAGAGGTTCACATTGGAGATGTGTCCATTGGGGGCCCAGAAATGTAATAATCTCCCACAGCTAGTAAGTGCTGGAGCTAAGGATCAAACCCAGATCTGCCTGATTTCCAACCAAGGCTCCTTCATTCATGAGTTTTATGATGAGGAAACACACTACATTGCTGTTGCCTGCAGGGATCTTCTCCATCCCTGAATTCCTATGAAGCCTGAGAAACAGGAGAAATGATAATTGAGGTAAACACTTAGATGATGGATAGTATTTCAACAGGCAGACATGCAGGAAAGTGGAGGATAGATACTTCAGGCAGATGAGCATGAAGAAGCAGGTGAAACTTCAGGCAGTAGGGGACAGCAGTCCAGTGTAGAGGAGCAGGGATCGGGAAGTAGAAGATAAGCCTGTTACTGGAGGGAGCGGCTAAACACCATGTACCACAGTGTGTGATCTTATTTAGCAAGGAAAGGGAAATCTCTGGAGATTTCCGAGCAAGAGAATTAGGGTGAGAGAGTGTGAGGAACTCAGGCAGCACTATGAAGAATGGACTGGAAAGACTAGATGAAATAGGGATGGCCCAAACTAGGGAATGACTAAGAAAATGAAAGGAGGTTGTGTTTTTGCCATTGCAATTTCTGAACATCCTTCAAAGCTCTCTTGGCCAATACAGACTACAGGGATCTTCCCCATCCCAGAATTCCTTTAATAGACAAAGTGAGCTATTCCTCAATCTAGCACACAATCCTTTATCACCATAGCTTTTACTCCATTTATTATATCAGTGACTAGTGTCCCTAAACAATTTATAAGCTGCCAGATACTTGTACTCTGCTAGATAAAAGGATGCAGAGCTGGCTTGATTTTTTCCCCCTCATCACTGAGAAAATAATTTAAATTCTAGGATCACAGGCTCTTTGTTTGGAAAAGGAGAATCACTTTTACCTCACCGTGGTTCTAAGGATTAGTGAGATAACATTCAGCACAAAGCACAGGGTCTCAGTGAACATAAGGCACCTGGACCCTCCAAAAACCTTTGATGTATACACCATGGATGGAAGGTACATTCACAGTGTTCTGTCAACTGCTCAGACGTAAGTTTGTGCACTCACAGCACATCATGCTCCGTCACAGTACTTGCACACTTTGCTTGTCCTTCTGCCACCTCCTCGCTTCCCATTACCATAGTGCAAACTTCCACCAGCCCAACCACACTGCCTTCCAGATGCTGTGTTGCCTAGTAGTTAGGGATCTGTAAACACATGCCTTCCTTTCAACTGCTCACCACTTAAGGAAGGCTAAGGCATGTGCCAGATTTCAGGGTTGGGCAGAGGACTGTGGGACATGGTAAGAAAGGCCCCTATGCTCAGTTCTCTAGAGCTGATGCAAAGGAATACAGTACACATAGGAAATGCGATATATCCACCCAAAGACTCCTGGTGCAGGAAAATGTGGACAAGGCTTCTGCGCGAAAAGGTGAAGTTTAAGGAGTAGCTGGCTCTGATAGAGGAGCTGGCACAAGCCAAAGAGCATAGGCCTGAAATTCGAGTGACACTTGGAAGCAAGGGGAGCCAGCTGGATGAGGCCCTGGATGGGTTGAGGCCAAATCCTAGCAAATGCCAGGACGTTGGTCCCCCGGTCGAAATGGGGCCATTGAAGGTTGATGACTGAGAAGGAGCCACTCCAATCCGCATGTAAAAGACCACGGGGCAGGAAGGCACAGGGGCAGCCAGGCTCTGAGCTGTCGCTGCAGCTACAAATCTGTATACAGTCCTTTGTGCTGTGGCGGCCTCCTTTCCGGCACTTTCCCTGTGGAGAGCCCTTCGCCCCAGGGGTCGTTGCCTCGTTCTCTCGCCGCCTCCAATGTCTCCAAACCCCTACTACCAGTCCCGGCGCCGCCGCGCATGCGCGGTTCTTGGCGCAAGCGCAGCGCGTTGCCGCAGCGTGGGGCGGGGGGAGAGGGGCTGGAGGGAGGAGGGTGAGCGTCCCAGGTCCCTACCAGGTGTCCGTAGACGTCGGCAGGCTGGAGGTAGAAGGTGGAGTTGAGCAGCTCTTCCAGCTTGCGCGGGACGTCGTTCTCCCGGTAGTACTCCATCGCCTGCTGCTTCAGCTTCTGCAGCTCCCTAGTGATCCCACAGCTGCCGCCGCCGCGTTCTTCCCCCATGGTAGGAGATTTAAGGCTACAGCGGGGTTTAGCCTGGGGGCCCGCGAGCGTCCTTTCGTCGCTAGGCAACGCAACGCAACGAGATCCCGACCCCAGATCTCGCGAGGTTCCACCTGCCGCTGGGACCTCTCACTCCTTCCCGACCCCCTCGCGCCCCTCTCCCTCCCTCTCCTGAGGGGTTGATTCAGGGGTTGGGCTCTGAGACTGTCCCAGCTTCGTTTTCACCACTTTTCCCCGACGATTTTCCAGATGGGGAAACATTTAACCATTCCCTGAAGGGCGTTTTGCAGGAGCAGGGGAGCGTTGACCCCACTTCCACTTGGGGCACGAACCCAAGTTCGTGCTTCCCAGTGGCCCTGGGACTCGGCGGTGCAGCCTTCGCCGTCCGCCTCCTCGTTCCTCGAGGCCAGCGAGCTCCTCTGGTTTCGAGGGTGGCCCGCGCCTGGCAGGCCTCGTCCCCTGGAGGCAGGGACAAGAGAACCCAGGCTGTTGGTACGCAACTGTGGCGGTCCCAGGAATTCGTTCAGTCAGCTGATATTTGTAAACAACCTGCTCTGAGCCCAGCAATGTGCTGGCTGCACATTCTGTGATGCCCAGGAGAGAAACGGTTATGCACTCTCCCCGGGGAGGTTAGTGGGAGTGAAAGCAATTCGAGGAAAGCACAGTGTGAGCTGAAAAATGGTTGGGGGGCAATGGACCTTAAAGGATGGTTATGGTTAGGATAGGTCTAGGAGTGGGGTAATGCAGGCAGGACTTTGGGAGATGAAGGGGAATGGAGGAAGGGCCTTGGCTCATGTTCCCTTTCTGGGAGGCTGCCTACTTCCTTCCCTTTAAGTCCAAACTACCTGCCTGGCTTCCTTACACCTTACTGAGCACCTTACACAGGTATCATTCATGAGGTTGCAGACCTTCCTAAAGTGCGCCTTCTGCTCTAGATATTTCCACTGCTGCAAAAAATGGGCCTTGATGGACAGGGTGTACTTGTTCTACTTTTGCCTGTTTACTTTCCCAACTTACGCAGTTCACTTAAAACATCTACGTTGCTCTTGTTTGTCTGGAAAACATTATCTTACCTACTCTGCCTGCTTCCTAAGTCACTTAGCATAAAATGAGGAAGCAAGTTAGAAAGCACCTGGAAACAAGATAGTTATTTTCCATAAATGCACGTGTGAAGGTAGATGAATAAAACTAAGCGACTATAAATATTGTACACAAACACAGATATGCATCTACCCACAGATATGCTCCCTCGGTATTTTCTCTGAATCTCTCATGAAATGTCTCCCTCTCTGTGGTATGAGAGCATCACCGACCTGCCTCATCCTCCTTGCTGGATGGAAATCCCTTGATGCTAGGAGCTGATGCTGAGTCATCTGCTCGGCCACTGCAGAGCCTGGGGCCCTGCCAAGAAAGAGTCTGTGCTCTGCTGACTAGGGGCCCAGGGAACTTTTATACCAATGGAGCCAATATTGTTGCCCTTGTTTCCATTCCACCTTTGAGCCTTTCCTCTGTCCCCGGATGGACCATACCCAGAACTCTCCTACATCCATCTTTGAATATCTAGGTTGAATCCCACATCTTTAAATAAGCTGCAAGCCACAACTCTCCCTCTGGCCAGCCCTTCCTTTCTTCTGAACTCTTTCCCCAATTTCAGTCTTCACAGATATATTGACTTATTTGACATTTTAATGGAAAAGTGGAAAGTGTCCTGGGCTGGGACCAACAAATCTCAGGGGCTGCCCTCAATAACCCATTGACCTCTAAGTTCTTTGAGGACAGAGACCTGGTGTGTCTCTTTCACCATTGTGTCTACAGCATCGGTACGTCACCTGACAGAACAGGTGCTCAGTAAATATTTGTTGGATGAATTAACGCGTTTTTCCTATAATTGGTTAATAAATGCTTAACTCACAAGTGTTTTGGAGTTGGATGATACACCAGCCTGGTTTGGAGCAAAGGGTTTGTTTTGAGGAATAATGAGAAATGAGGATGACAAATTGTCTGGAGAGATTGTGTAGGAACTAAAGTCCCATTCAGTAGGAGAGAGAAGCACAAATTTCTGAATACAGGATGGACAAAATAGAAGCAGTTAACTGGCGGTAATAGGTAGGATTGATGGGTGTTTGGTTGTACAGAAAGTCGGAGACCCAGGTAGAAAATAATATAGGTGTAAGGGTCTAAATGATAATGGTAGGAATGAGAATAGATGGATGAGCCAGAACAGGAAGGAAGGATGGAAAAGGCTCTGTGTGATTGGATGGGGATGGGAAACCAAAGACTCCTGAGGTAGGGTTTAGTTCTCTGCATTTGTCAGAAATGGGTTAAATGACTTTTCTCCATGGAACATGCTGCACTGGGTTAAAGATAGGTGGGACTTGAGGAGCACTGACATCCCAGTGCAATGGGAAGACCCAAGTTGCTGATCAAAATCATCCTAATGGGTTTCAAGTTGGAATAAGGACAGATGAATGCTCTGGAGGGTAATGGGAGGGGGGAAAATCCTCTTGAAGTAAGGATATAAATATTAGAGAAGGAGTAGATTTAGGTTGTAGGAGAAGGACAAGGAGCCTTACTGGGAAATGAACAAAAAAAACATAAGGAGAATGGAAAAACTCTGAATCTCAAAGTCCAGGGCAAAGACTTTTGGGAACATGTTGAATGGGTGTTTGTGTGGGTGCATATGTGTAGAACAAAGTCTGAAAGGCTGGCCCTGAGCAAGTTAATTTTGTGATCCTTGGGGGATAGGATCGTAGGGAACTTTTAGTTTCTTTTAATATATGGGTCATATCTAGTTTTCCTAAAATGAATGAGTTTCTCATGTAACTTTAAAAAATTCCATTAAAAATATTTGAGGGAGCCTGGGCAACTTATCGAAATCCTGTCTCAAAATAAAAAGGGCTGGGAATGTAGCTCAATGGTAGAGCATCCCTGAGTTTCAATCTCCAGTACCAAAAAAGTAAAAAAAAACAAAAAAACATTGAGGGAAGGATGTTAAGTCAAAGGTTATTGGAGGATTGAAGATTGAGAAGAGACTATTTGAAGATAAACAGTAATAATGGTGAGCTGCCATCCTGTTCTTCTTTCATTGTTCAATTAACAAATACTTATTAAATGCCTGCCATGTGCCAGGCACTGTCCTAGGCACTGACAAAAGAGCAATGACACTTAGAGACTTAGAGTGACACTACAAGTTCTGGTGATACAGTAGCACGCACATTGAGAGAGTCATTATGCAATAAACTGAAATAATAGAAGTGAAAGCCTTTTGGAAGTTTGTTTGCATGGACTTATTAGCAGCCTGTTAGTGTTGACAGATCCAGAGTCAATAAAATGATGATTCTTGAATATTCCCATTTTCTTATTTTCCATAGTTATTAGAAGCACCAGCAGTTATGCTTGTACTTGTGCTTTTTTTTTTTCACATCACATATTCCTTGTTTTACCACCTTGCTGATCAAATTTCCATTTCACACCGATACTCAATGTCCTGGCACAGTTCCAAAGCATGAAAGGGGTTGAAGGTGTTGCTAAGCCTTAAATTATCAACCTAGGAGTTGGGGATGGGAAGGAAGGAAAATAATCAATCTGGAGAGGCTCAGTAGATCTAGAAAGTTCCTAGAACTTATCCAAGTAGAGAGGGTGGGACTGAGCTGTCCTCCTTCAGAAAGAGGAAGTGGGGAGAGGCTAGAGGCCCAACTGTTGCCATCCTGTGAGTTGGTGCCTGCTCAGGAAGGCATGCATGATGTGAGGCAGGGAGAATTTGGGAATGAGAAACCCTGGAATGGGATCCCAGTCATCTCAAAGATCTTGACTTCTCAGTAAAGAGGGAGGATGTTTGGACTGATCAGGTTTTATAACTTTTCAGATATGAAGTCTCCTTTTTAACAACAAAAATGAAGCATCTACCACCCCCAGCATTTCATAGGAGTTACATACAATGACCATAAATTCAGTAGTACTTCTAGACGCCTTTGTATTTCATTTAAGGAATGAAATGTGAAAAAGAACACATGTACCAACAAGCCCTTATTCAGTGTTGGGGGTTGTTGTTTGGTAAATGTATGGAGTTGGGGGCCCCTTCCTCAGATTCCAGGATGTTCTCCGTGACCTTGGTTGAGAACTACTGAATTGGATCTTTCCATCTTAGATCTCTTCTGCTTTGTAGCTCTGATCCATGATAAAATATCAGGATATATTAGTCTATTCCAACCTGCTACTGGAAGACCCTTCTTAGAGGAAATTAATCATTCTTCATTCAAAAAGAATTGCTAACTCTATCAGACATTTCCTAAATGAATGAGGATAAAGGGAAGTGTATTTGTTCATTTTCCCTTCTTCCTACCCAATACCTTCATTTAAATTGGAACTTGTTTGCCATGACTTTAATGTTCAGAAGTGATTATTTAGATGTTATTTTGGGGTTGTTATCAAGTGCTTATTAATTCTTTTTCCCTGCATTTGACATCTGTGTTGAATATCATTTTCATAGGGAACTAATGAGCATGATTGCAGGTGCCTTTAATCATAGAATCATAGAAACTGGAGACAGAATAGACAGAAAGTTCTGCCTTTGCTCATCCAGAAGATGGAAGTGATGATGTGCTAACCTTCCCCGACCAATAGAATGGGAAACAGGATCGCCAACCAGGAGTCCCTGTAAAACGAATGGTGCTAAGTAAAAGTATTAGGATGGTTTGACCAAATTTTTTTTTAAAAAAAGTAGTTTTTTTTAACCTTTTTTTGTTTAATTGCTGATATCTCCTGACAGTAGTCAATACCCCTGTGGTAGTAATACTATATACAAAAACAAACATACACACACACACAACAGCTGCTTTTGAGCTTTTTCATAAGCTTGGAACTTTACTTCCACTGTCCCACTGAATCTGCAGAACCACTGTCAAAGGTAAGTCACGGGCCAAGCTAACACCATTAATAAATAGCAGAGGTAGAACTTGAACCCAGGTCT